GTTCTAACTCTATCGACCCAGCAATGTCTAGGGATAACTCGTCGGTGAGTTGAGTAACGTACTGGTTTTAAATAAAATCATCTCAATGGTTAAAAGGAAGATATGAGGTTTGAAACCTAAATAGATTATTTCTCAGTCTCAAGCTTGAAACGAATGGATTTATCAGAATGATTCTATATAATAATAATAATAAGAATGGTCTTTATTGAGAATTATTGTGCCAACAGACGCGCAACAATTAACGTGAATAGAATGAAAAAGACATGGAGTCATCGAAATGTTGTGTGTTTTTCTGGCTAATATTTATTCTTAAAGAATGAATAAGGAAAAAGAAAAGGTATTAATTACTATTGAAAAGACATCTATTAATAAAAACTGATTTAAAACGGCTTGTCTGAACCTTAGGCAAAATATAGAGATCATATTCTTCCCTTGTTTATTTCTTCCAATATCTTGCCAATTAATCTGCCTTACTTCGAGACAGTTTTGATCTTTATGCATGATGTTGCCCATGACTCTGTACCTTTAAACCTTAAAAATCTCTTCTGCTCCACAAGCCAAGTTAATTCACATAACACAAGGTTCTCCTCAGCTGGTAATTACTACGTTAACCCATCCACAACAATCGTAATGCAGAATTCTATTTCTAGATTTGGGCCAAATCTATGGAATTCTCAGAATAACACCACACGTGAGCTCCCTCGTAAAAGTTTTCAAACAGAAATCCATAATAATTATGCTTCTGTCTTTACTGGCTGGCTTCTGAGGATATTTACATTGAATCACCTTCCATAATTCAGAAACTTATACCAACATATCCACAATGATGGTTAAAGTTGCAATGGTGGCAGTTATTTATTTATTTATTTATTTATTTATTATTACTCTTTTAGTCCCTTTTTTTTTCTTACTCTGTAATGTCATCTCATGTATTCAACAAGCGATGTAATATACCTCTATTACTTTTCCACTTGTTATGTTAATACTTTAAGGGCTACTTTTCAATTATTTTTCTTCATACCTTGTCCAAATTTGACATGCTGTAATGTAAACCTATTCTCTCCTGTCTCTTCCCGCCTCAACTAACCAATGCTATTTGCGGGAAGCGACCATTTTTGTATTTTTCTTTTGTCAAATAGTAAATAAAGTTGTAAGTTGTAAGTTGTATTAAAAGTTAATTTTAGTGATCAATTCATCCAAACTATCTGTTTGTGTATTAGTGAGGGTACTCCTTTTTTTTTTTCAAACAACATAAATTTGAAGTATCTCAATTTTTTTTTCTGTTCCTCAGGTGCCCTTGGCCAAGCAGGGCCTGTCTCCGATACACTACCAGTAAGTTGTGTGATAACAATTCCTTTAAGAATCACTTCAAATTAATAATGTCTTATTTGAACCATTGCATAACTGAAAGATATGCCAAACAAACCTCTCCTTAGGATCTGTTGGTAATTATCCAATTCTTTCAGTTTGGTGTTGTACTGTGATGGAACTGTAGTCTTTTCTTTCTAATGCAAATTTTCCCCTTTAATCAAGCTCCCTCTTTATTGCATCATGAAATCATGCATCTGTAGCCTGTGTTTACTGCATTGCTTGTTTTGACTGCCAACAGTTTTTTGTTCTCATCGGAACAAAATACAACCCAACTGACAGTCAGGGCTCATACTGAGCTGACAGCAGGAAATGAGCGGTATAGTCATGAAGTAGGAATCAGTGCTTCATGTTGCTCAATTTTTTTCTCCTTGAAGAAATACAACAATCACTGTTGATAAGTCTCTCTATTTAAGCAACAGAACACATTTTTGCTGGGACTCTATAACATGATAAAGCAACACGGGATATAGGAGGAACACTTTAAAAGCTAACTCTCGAGCCAGACGCAAGTGATTTATAAGCTTTCTGAGTATTTTCCAACATTCCAAGTGGTTTTATCATGTTTTAGAGCCCGGAAAAAATGCGTTCTATTACTTTTATGACCTAACTAGTTACTTGCGGGCTCAATAACCCGATAAAGCATCCGCTTGGAAACTGAATTGACCAATCAGATGATGCATGCTATTTTCATTTTGTTAGAAAACATGATTAAAATGATATGATAATAATTCAAACTCTTTTGCATTCTTTTAGGGAGAACAGGAAGGGGCAGCAGCAATGGTTCCATCAGATGATGAAGGTGAAATGGAGGACATGAAGGCTCGATTGGAGGCTTTACGAAGTTAAATTACGGCACAAAAGATTATTTTTAGCATTTGTATCAAGTAAATTCCTCAGTCCTTGCTCTGTAACCATTGGGGCTGGGTCAAAAGAACAAGAAAAATTAGCATGTAGGATTTTTTTTTTACATGTTTTTCAGGTTTTTCTTGCCTTTTCTATTTCTTCTTTCAGTCTTAGCTTGTATCCATCAAACAGAAGTCTCGGACATTCATTATAACTAAATAGCACAAAATAGCCAACTACAAGCGTTAGGTTTACTTGTCTTAATTTAGTCCATATTGTATCTCTCAGCAACTTTTTAGTACATTTCTTTTTTTGAGGCGCATATCAAGAACGAGAAAGGCGACGAGATTTCACTTCTCAGTTGTGAAAAAGTTAATCCGTATGAGCATTAAGGAGCAGTTAGCTACGTCTGCCAAGCGAGCAGTCAAAACTGGAATAGGGGAGTGCGGGTAAAAGTGAAGTTGATTTTTCGCTCGACGGTAGCAAGTAGACTCTTATCAGAGAGTGAAGTAGCTGTGAATGCAAGACATATCTGGCTTATCAGTAGATCCCAGAGCCGTGGGCTGGGTGATTCTCCTGGTGTACACAAATTTTTCGGTTAAGAGCAAGGCGAATAACAGAATATAAAGTTTGCTCAAAGGGGTTCTCCCACTAACACGGTGCGGAAGATGGTTAAAAGGGACCTCATAGCCCGTTTACCGCCCGCTAGTCCGTACATTTCCCCCCCTCCTTTTCTCTGTTCATTCTGCAAGAGAAGTAAAGCTGTATTGGCCTTTCTTGCTTTTGTGGTGAAGGTGTCAGGAGTTCTTATAAATAGTCACGTACAACTGAGTAATTCTAAAAAATTCGATGCAGTCAATCTCATTCATCAACTATTAAGGAGATACAGTTAATTGCTCTACATACAGACTTAGATGACAGTGACTGCTCTATGTGACAATGCCCGAGTCTGGCCTAGTTGTAAGCAAGAGATTAGAAATCTTTTGTGGTTAGCTGATTTTGTACCACCCAGTGGCTAATTAATAAACTTATGCTTTTGGTGGGGGGTTCCCCACATCCACCGACTTACTGAAACCATGTATGAACTTTGTGCACTGTGCCAAATTCTGAAACTTAATTGGCTGACGCGAGTGCAGCCAAAACTGAGCATGCTAGATACGCACTACCCTTCCCGACTTCCCCAACTACTCAATTGTAATTTTCGCTCAGTGTGATAAACTAGTGTGTCATCTTCCATAGTGAGGACAATACATTTTAGCTCGTTTCCACTTCTGCTCTCACATTTCGATGCGCAGCACTTAGCGATGGACGGGAAGAACTGAAATACGTGCACGTTTTCTGGCGACGACTTGAAGTTAAAGCTTGTTGGGTAGAACTGGTTGGCTCCTCCTTGCAATATTCGAATTTCTCGCTCACTTCGCAACCAGCGTTTTAACCAGACCTGTTGACGATGTCATGACCAATACAAACCATATTCAAGCCCAAAACTCTTAAACGTAGCGCGCTTTGACTTATCGGAAAGGTGTGCATGCTGAAAACTCTAGTTACTACTGATGAGCTATGAAACCCTATTGATTACAGCCTTGAAAGAAGCGACTACATGTAACATGTAATTTCTCCCTGTAATATCCATACATTATCCAGCAAAAAGATAATGAGAATACTCGAACTTATCAGCTGGAAGATACCTTGATCTAACACCACATTCTCGCATTTAATTTACATGGGAATGTGTGGCAGCTAGAGGAAGAATTAAATATCAGATATTGGGAAGATTACCTCAAGAAGTGGTCTCTAGAATTGCTCAGATAGTTACAGGTTTCAAGAGTCAATTCCAGTTCGAAAGCAGCTAGCATTTGTAATAGAAACACTGTTTTTTTAATCAGCACCGTCACAATTTCTATAAGCAAGCACTCTTTAATGTGTTTCCTTTCCAAATTAATTTATGGGAAATAATTTGATACATGCACCCTTGACATTTTTTACTTCACTTCCCTGAAAGAAAGTGAGCAGAATACCACGAAACCCTTGTCAACAGAAAGTACTACACAAAACATCTACGGACTCGTTGAGACAAATTGTCCTTTTGGTAAAACGCTATCTAAATACGTGGACTAGCTATATACACTGTTTACAACTGCCATACCTTTACACTTTTTAAAAAAATTCTTTAACAATTAGGACTTGGAAAAACAATTCATTGATACGCATGAAGAAGTCCATGCAACATATTTTCACACTCATTAAAAAACGCCACAACTCTACAAATGAGGTCAGATCGCTATTTTGGCTTAAACTACCAACTCGCACCCGAAATTTTCAGTTATAGAATCGTTTCAGTCGACTCTAATGTTACAAGATGATCAATTAAACTTTAATTCCAGAGCCGTTTCACTGAAAAAATTTACTTCCTTTCTCTAACACTGAGGTAACAGCCAAAACACGAAACGGTCGGGTCCTCGTTTTTTTTTTTGAACGGAACTATCGAAGCATTCAGAAATTTGGAAAATTTGGAAATAAAAGAAATTTAATTTTTAACCCTTAGTGTGTTACGTTAAGATTAATCCCGGCTGATTAAAGTCGGTATTAGAAAACGAACATTTTTCTGCCACGCCTTAAATTTGTTTATGTCCGTGCATTCCTTTCAAGGGTGACAAGATCACTGTGTATCTTATGAGCTGTTCCCACACAAGTCCGGCTTTGCAGGTTAGAAAAATACTGATGGTAAGCGTAGAATGAAAAATCCACTAAGTCTCTCCATTTTGATCATTACTCAATTCCAAAACCCTCGGCATTGGAAATCGCAATAGTGAGCTTTTGCTTCAGAATCTTTCGGTTTTTATACGGAGGAAGAATGAGCTGGTTGAAGCACGTGTGAGACATTGGCAACCTAAAAAGATATAATCAAATGTAAGTCAGATACGCGTAAAGCAGTTAAGAATGCATCGAATTTGGTTTAAACGCTCACGTTTGGTCTTTAAAACGTGTTCTATGCTCTAAGCCAACTGGATGCAAGATTCAAGCTATTTCATTTGTGTTTTCTTTCGTTTCAGGGAGTTCCCGTACAAGTTTTTTCGGTGAGTTCTCATTGGCTCATTCTCACGTTTCCTCTACTCTGAAAAACCGTTACGTTTATTCCGGTTTTTCAGCAATAAGTCGAATGTGCTCCTTTGAACGTACTTTGTAACTGCTGTTTTAGCTTAGATTGACTTACATGCTGGTGCTGTGGGCTACTTCCATACGGATTATCTTGAATTCCATTTCACCCATCCCACCGATGGGTACACGGTCACTCCCGGTTGCAAACAGCAGCAGCTTCTTCTTCAGCTCCAATGAAAAGGATAGAACTATGTCCCAGAAATACCTAACGGGATTGAAAGGAATGAGACAGAATGTCGCGGAAGATTTTGCAACCTTTTAAGATCTAAAAGCGTCACCTACAAACCCTTTACAAACCAAAATGCCACAAAGTAATATAAATTTAACCATCTGTTTTGCATGTCAATGACTGCTTAAGTCTAAATTAATAATAATAATAATAATAATTATTATTATAATTATTATTATTATTATTATTATTATTATTATTATTATTATTATTATTATTATTATTTAGCAATGGACATCCACTGGGTGGCTCTTCTTGTCCACTGTTTCCAGATCCAATTGGAATTTGGAATGTTGGTTTTTGGCGAGGGAGGAAAACRGGAGGACCTGGAGAAAAACCCTCAGAGCAAGGACTAGAACCAACAACAAACTCAACCCACATGTGACGCCAGGTGCGGGAATCGAACCCGGGCCACAGTGGTGGGAGGCGAGTGCTCTCACCACTGCGCCATCCCTGCTCCCCAAATTTGTTTGACTATCTGTCTTTAAAGCTGTCTCACGGTCTGTATGCCTGCCAGACATTCTCCTGTCTATACGCAGATGTACAACTTCTTGAACTTTTTCAGTTTTTCTTTTTTCGAGTGCGGAAAATCGTTCTTTGAAACCAGCGACTCTCACCAAATTTTGTTTAATACAGGCAGTATGGGACGGATGAATTCTGTCAGTTGTCGTTTACATACCTAACAACGGAATCATTCTTCGTGTAGCCATCATAGACTGTCACTTTTCTAAGAGCATCCATGTCAAGTTCAGGATTTCCACAGACTAACATCTCCACTTCCTCTGGGCGTAACATCTAAGATCATACCCACGAAATACATGTGCGTCAGTACATGTTAAATCTACGTTGAAACAAGTTAGTTTCAATGAGTGACCTTGAGTTCATGAAAATTCCTTAACTCATCCTTCTTAAAAATATGCTCACCGAAATCTCCACCGAGCGCCATATTCCAAATGAGGCAAGATCAAATGATTGGAACTGATTTGACTGTTTTTTTTTTTTTATTACGGAGCGAAAACAGTTTACACATTTGACGACTTAATCTGACAACAAAGCTAGACAGTGACTTACATATATATCAGAGAAAACGAACGATCGATACTAACAATGAGGGCGTTTGAAGCACAGACACTGTGGAAGCCATGATAGAACGACGCAAACTGCTGGTAAATGGACTTGTTTAAAAGATAATCCACGTAAAGATCCACGTATTCTGAAAATAAAATCAGTTATCACTGTAAGCTTTACCGTCCATTACATCCTATCCGAGATGGAATTCACGAACAGTGGGGTCAGCTTTCCTACTCAATAGTAAAACTTTGTAGCCGTCAACACCCATTTACCCTAGCTTGCAATATCATCTCTACGTAGAAAACATTCATTTTTAGTAAACTGAAAATTCTCAAAATCCAGACTAGGATTAACCTTGCTTGGATGTACACTCGAACAAGTCAACTTACACGCGAGTCTGATCGATCAAGCGGTACCCGGACGCTCCGCCGACATGTCAACTCGCCAGCACCAAAATACTCGCAGACACCTTAAATCGACTCGCTGACAGTCGCCTTTGGTCAACTCACCGACATGCCGGTCACTTTGCCGACATTCTCGGTAACTTCAGTGATCTATTTGGGCAACCCACCTTTTTTAGTTTTAAAGAAACTGTTTGGGGCTGCCTCGGTGGGAGTAACGAAATAATTTGGATATATCAACAAAGTTGAAGTGGTAAATTGGCCACCGTAACGATTGCAAAAGCTGACGTTTCGAGCGTTAGACCTTCGTCGGAGCGAATAGAGGAATTGTGGGTTGTGTGTGCTTTTAAAGGCAGANCTTTTCATTCCACTAATTTATTCTTGTTTTTCTCGTTGCCATGTTCCCACCAATAACGTAGCTCCATTTCCTGCCTTTAAAAGCACACACAACCCACAATTCCTCTATTCGCTCCGACGAAGGGCTAACGCTCGAAACGTCAGCTTTTGCAATCGTTACGGTGGCCAATTTACCACTTCAACTTTGTTGATATATCCAAATTTTTTACTTTTAAGCTCTCAGAGCTCGATCCGATCAAACGCATAGCACTCTTGATCATCTGGGAATACTTGATTACCGCGATGTGACAAAAGGTAATTTGACTTTGTCGAAGAAACACCTTTGTGTTGAAGCATAAAAGAAGCGAAACACCAAGAGGTCTCTAGCTAGTTAATGAAATAAGAATTACGGTACGGTTTACAAATTTACCTTGTCTGTTCTCTTTAGTAACGGTGATTTTATCGCCCTTTGGCTTGAGGTTGTGCGTGATAACTTCACCAAATATTGTGTAAGATATCTGTAAATAGAGCGGCCAACGTCAAATGCCAAACAATACAAAATTGAAGATGAATACAACTAAGGGTTCTTCTACCCCCCGTAAAAGAAAGTTTAAGCACCCTACCACCGATCTTCAAAGTGTTTTTTTTTTTTTTTTAAATCTATTTATATTCGATTTTCTTCCAATTATTAGGTAATTTCTATTCTACAGAGAATTAACTTTAATCGTCCATATCATTATTAACTAACGTTTCTATTCCTATTTCATCATTTCAAATGTTAGATTGAAGACCCTTGATTTGCAATTCTTTGTAACTCTTTTGTCCCACCCTCTTAGAACAAAATTGTTTCTTTTCTTGATGTGTCTTTGTTAGCCTATATCTAATGTGCATTGCTGCTTTGTTCTCTCTATGTTACTACACAACCCCATACCCTGATTGATCATGTCTCAACCAACCTGGAATGTGTGACAAAGATCTTCTTCCACATCACCTTCATACTCGAGAAGCTCCTTCAGGCCTCGACCAAGATCCTACAAAACACAGATGACACGGCAATTTACAACTGAGTGTCGTAAAACAAAAACATAAGTAAACACCCCCAGCACAAAGGCAGAAACTACAATAAGAACTCTAATTTAATTCAATTCAGTGCCGAAAGTAATCTGGAATAGTATTAGTTTTGTTTTACTTGACTCTCCGCTCAACCAATCAAACATAAAACTAAAACCAATGACGACTTGGTCGCGCGCGTTTTCGCGCGCTTTTAGCAGTTTACTTGTTATCACTTGTTGTAACTTTGAGTTGTCATTGGGTCCTGATAATATATTGCTCGCCATGATAGGCTGTTGTGTTTGCTTTGTTTTTGGTTATACGACACTCATTCGAAGCTGGAGCGCTCTGGTTTGCGGAAATGGTGGTGTGTGTTTCCTCAGCCAGTCGCAGAGTGCCTTAACGCAAAACCAACGAAATCCCAGACTTCTCTCAACACTTGGCAGTTAGAAATTGCTCTTCCTTTTTAACCATCTTCATTAGATGCAAAGGTATGTCTTTTCACGTGTTCACATCAAGGGTGGTGGATTTTAAGGCGAGCCATGGTTTGCGAACCTTGAAAGGTTTCTCCTCTAATTTTCAGAAGGGTTGTTTGCATCCGTATTAATCTTCCCAATCCTTAGCTATCCTGGTAGCTTGTAAGCTTAATGATTCCTCTCTTAGGTAAAGCCATCTTACTTTAACAATAATTTGTAGTTCCCTACTAATTAAACAGAAATTTCGCGACGCAAAATCGACCAAAAGTACCTAAACATCGCACCTGCAATGACCTTTAACTTAAGAGAGCACAATTCCAGTTACTAACTAAAGTTTAGACGATGCAGAGTTTTAATTACAACTTACTGGCATTGTTTCCACAAGATCCTGAAGTCCTAATGGAGCGATACCCACTGTTGCGTTAGGATTGTGAAACGGAACTACGGCTGGACTCAGCAGCTTCTTGTAACAACAAGGGGGAAATCTTATGTCCAGAATAATGCTGTTGTACACTGCTAATCCCATCAGCTATTGCAGCAATTATTGTCAAGAATGCAAACAACATTAACAATCTGGTTCTGTACTAGAACACCTGCATGCAAACTTTGCCAAAGAAACTAAGAAAATCATCCAGTTCATTTTCACACAGTTACAGGAGTAAGTCTAAAAAGGATACAACACCAACTAAGTTGAACTCAGAGTCATTTTCCATACACGTTTTACTAAACCAGTACGTCCTTGACTTCTCATTGTAAGTAAACATACCTACAGTATTGAAATAGATAATCAGAGTGATTGAAAGAAATTATAGTATGGCAATCATGGGGCACCTCACTGATAGGTTCTAGCGTCTGTTGTGTTGTTCTCGGTTACACCAATTACGCCATAATAGTTTGCTACATACGAGCTATAGAATAAAGTTGGAGGCAGATCATTGAAAACTTGTTGTCAATCAAGTCGCGAGCCTCTCTGGAAACAAGCCCGTCATTCCAGAGGGCTTGAAAGGTCATGTATTCATTTAGTTTGTATCTGTTGTACTATCTGCAAAACATGAATAAAAGGCGTTGTACAACGCGGGGAAAGGCTACATTGGATCACTACATGTATGTAGCTAGCAGTCGAATGGTTTTTTAATATGATTGAAACTAAAAGGAGTGGTTGGCTGTGAAAACTTAGTACACACCATGTACCATATATTTCATTCAGAGAGCGTGGAAAATAAGCGACAGAATTTAAACTACAAAGAATAGCAAAGAAGACGTGAAACATAGACATCCTTACCATATTCTGGTCTAAAAATTCTCCTAATCAGCAAAAGAAACCACTCTTTTGTTAACCCACCCATGTCCAATCCTGGTTCCCCTGCAAAGGTGACTTTTAGTTTCTTTTTCAAGTCTCTTTGCTTTCTGGAAATCTAAGACATTGAGATGGTGAAAGTTAATACCTTAACAAATCTTTTGACCACTTTCATAAATGGCTGCCGTATAAATATTCTTTTGTTTAAATTTAAATTAGCCCTTCTGGCCTCGCTTGAGATAATGTCTTCTTTTGAATTTTGTACTAGAGAACGAGGCCAGTAGGGCTAATTTAAATTTAAACAAAAGAATATTAATCCGGCAGCCATTTATGAAAGTGGTCTATAAGCAGAACAGTCAATAAATAAATTTACATGCTTCTGTCCACATGTTATTGTATAATAATCAATGCTATGAAGTCGTGGCTGACTTATAGTAAATTCCATAGATTGACTTGTAGTGTTGGCAAATCCTACCTCATTTAGCGAATCAGAAATCAGGTTTGAGCGACGAACTTTGATGTTGAGAAAAAGCATTCCCATGTCTGGAATTTCTCTTCTCTGAACTTTGGCCACAAGACTTTTCTGTTGATAGATGAGATAAGACAAACACAAAGTGTCAAGAGAAAGACTTCCACATACACCTACGCACCACAGTCTAGATGGTAAAAGTAATCTGAGAGCTCTTAATTCCAGCACAACTACATGAGTGTACAATTTTGAGATTCTCCATTAGTAAAACAGCGCATAAAATGCATGGTTTTTTTTCCAAAGAAGGAGTTAGTAGTCGCCAAAACAAAGTACAGAGAAGTTGGTAATTTTATAGTTTTTTAATCAGCGCAGGTCTGAACAACCCCAGAAATGAATAACTGCGTAAACTTTGTTCCTCGTAAAGAATAGCGAGGAGCGTCATTAGGTGTAAGGGGTATTTTCTGAGTATTTCAACGGAACTTGAACTCAAAACGCATGTTCTCATGGTCAAACTTGACAGAGGATGACCCTAATAAACTTCTGATAACTGATTCATCTGAAAATAAACCTTGACGGCTCCGCACTTAACACCCTAAATGTATATGGGACCAACCATCACCACGTGTACCCCTCAGACAGATTATCAACCCACAGAGAAAACCATGTAAACTTCAGCCATGTATGATTTAGAACCAAAAATTTCATGTGCAAGCCAAAACAAAAATATTACCCTCGCCATTACAAGCATCTGTGACTCAGAGTCCTTCTGCATGATGTAACGTTTGGCTGCCAGGCTAAGAATGAAAGGGTACTGACAGAACGAGAATTTGCTAAAACCACAGAGAATAATAAATCAGTTGTTAATATCATCAGTTGTGACAAGTAGGGAACAAACAAAAATCTGAATAGTAAATTAGTAATCAAAAACTAGTTATAATTAAGTGGTTCTGATTCAATGACTCACTCCTATATACTAAGTGAGCCACAGACAATCCCAGGTCATGTACTAAGTTCCATACTTATTACTAACTTTCATGATCCTTAGCAGCTTTGATCAATTAAAACTAACTTATCTCTTATGGTACTTGATCAACTTCTTCAATTTGATTTCTTTTTTCTCTCTTTGTGTACATTTTAGGCTGTAATTTCCAATTTACTCATTTCAGATTTGTTGTACGATTTACTATTTGTGCACAACTTGTGCTCTTTTATAGCTTCAATCTTGCAATTGCCATATTTAATTTTTTCCTCCGGGACCCTCTCAATTAGGCACAATGCTATTTTGTGCTATTTTACAGTGTATCCCATTGGCATTCTACTGTATTTAAACTTGACCTTAAAACTTGAACTTATACTTACCCGGGATTTGCTGTGGGATTCTGCCACGAATAATACTCACTCATTAGATCGATATGATCTAGTGAGTGATTGTAGAAAAAACTGTGGTTAACAACAGGGGGAGTAAACAGCCAGTTAGAAGCATCTGATAACAATCACAACAAAAAAAGAAACAAAATAAAGTAAATCATCAGGAGATAAAAATCAAAGGTTCAATTCACTATACCCCATAGGCAGAAGGTGAAGAATAATATTATCATCATATACTCGGTTGACATCTATTTTATGATGTTATCATCTTCATATTAATTTTATGATTTATCGTACAGTCATGTATATTTAAGCATTAATTTTTATCTCTCTGTGAGTGTTTGAGTTTTAATGAATTGTGTCTGTGCTTATATCCTCTAAGGGAATTTCAATCTACCTTCTATTCTCACAGTTGCGCCATAATGAGGCTTACCGGTAATTAATCAAAATAAGTTTCATGTTCAAATACAATGTCAAATCAATCCTCTTTAGTTTAGAATTTATAATATTATTAAGTGAGAATTTCATCAGCTCTACAAATTAAAGCAGCATTTGAGTTTATGTCTTCCTAATATAACTAAACACTAAATGAATGGCCACAAGTAAACAGCTTACTTTAAAAATAGTACTGTAACAAAAGTTTTCCAATGGAATTCACACAAGGCTAATTAGATTATACAACTTAAATTTCTTCATGTAAAAATTCTCTACCATGTTATTTTAGTTAGAGTAAGTGATCAATATTTAATAATTGAATTAATTATTTCTAAAGATGATCAAATCAACCCTACTCAAAAGTGCAAGGACTTTAACAGCAGATGGAATCCACCAAGTGCATTTCTCATCAGGTGGGAGCTCATTGGTTTTGGTGGGAATAAGACGCACACTAATAAACTTTACAGAGAAACAAAACTTGATAAGAAAACATGCTTGATTGCAGAATATTTCTGCAAGCATTTTCAAAAACCATATGTGATTACTGTACAGAAGTGAATCCACATGAATGCCTGCAAAATAAATTTCTTACTTCCCCAAGTTAATTTTTAAATTGAGGTATTACAGTTGCCAATTAAATTAGTTTATGGTAAATAAAAGCTTTCAACTTTGTTAATGATCGGATGGAACCTTTTAAATAAAATATAATATCAATACATTTATCGACTGCTTCTCAAAGCGGAAAGATTTTAAGAACAGGCCAATTAACAGCCATCTTATCTGAATACCACAGAAACTCTTATCAGAGCATGTACAATAAAGCAACTTAACAATGTTCAACATTATTATTTAAATAGATAAGATTAATTGAATACTGTCCTCATCACACAGCATTTGCACAAGGTTATGATACACACAAGTAGCAGGCAAATTAACCATTGAAAGTTGATTAGAAAAACTCTAAGATGCTTTTCAGAGAGATGAACTGTAAATTACAGCACCTTGCACAGGAACACAAATGAAATTAGACACGCATACATGAACAGTTCATGTCATTCATCAATTGAAATTAATTCCCATTCATCATATTGAGTCTGTTATTTCATTTCAAGAACATAGTCACCAGTAAAGATGAAACAATTTTAGTGTAATAGAAAAATCCAAGCCCCAGATGGGACTTGAGTGGTTAGAGCATCCGACTAGATCACAGAGGGTTGTGCATTCAAGTCCCATCTTGAGCTCGGATTTTTCTATAGTCACCAGTGACTGCTAAATATTACCTCTACACAAAAAGAAATTACCTGCTCTACTCTTGTTACAATGGCCTTGAAGGAATTAACAGGTAATCTAGAAAAGGTCAAAGGGAATATAGTTCTGTTAACTTAAAGTAAACAAACAAACATTTTAGCATAATGAAGAAGACCATTTCCATGAAAAAAAAGACAGCAACCTTTTCATAAAAATGAAAAATAAAAATATGTCATTGTCTTTAGTCAGTGTTGAGGGTAATGTGCAAGTGTGTCTTTATTTTTCTTGGGCTTTTTTGGGGGGCTTTTCAACTCTCCTCTTCCCTGACAATTTTTTTCCTTTCTTTGTGATATCCTTTGAAAATTTTGCATATCACAAAACCCACAACACCACCCACTTCCCCACCCCCACTTGAGATCAGCGACAGAGACAATTAACACATTATTGTCATAATGTAAATTAGTCAATCACCTTCTGAACCAGTGTACTAGGTACTGATGCTCTCCATCTGTAAGAGATGACACTTGCCGTAGAAGATAAGCAAAGATTACATATGTTGATGATTTGTCAAACTGAGGATTCTGAAATTAAAGAAACAGTTATTTAAATATGAGACAGTCACTACACTCCATCAAATATTTTGCTTGTGTGTGATTGATATGTTTAAACAAAGCATGTGACCGAATATCCCCCAGCTTTAACCGGAGGATATGCGAAAATGTCAACCATTAGTGATATTCCCCAATTTTCAAACCTTGTGTACAATGCAATAATATGTCTTGGTTTAAAATTTAATTCAAGAAGAGAGAGCATTTTGTGGTTGCTACAGAACTCAAGGGAAGTATGTTTTTTGCTCAAAGTCATACCACAGAACACTGAAAAAAGAAAACATCCCACACAGCATACAGTAAGCTGTTCATGCATATTTTTGTCACCTAAGTGTTGCAAAATATTTGAAGATAATGAACACAATAGCCTCTATTTTGTGCCAACATATGCTTGTATATTAATCTTTGGACATTAGCTGTTCCTTGTAGCTCAGTTTTTTTTCCTCACGCTTTGCTCTTGAATAACTGTTCACATCTAGGAACAGATAAAATCCACAGACAAATATCTGTACATGTTTTCATGCTATTAGAGGTTATTAATTTTATATCAAGGGGGTAAGCTTCTAGAGAAACCATGGTGCTGCCTTAGTGGGCAATATTACATGATAATTTGGTTGTAACAGAGAGAAATTTCAATGATAAAATTTCGAGTGTTAGCCCTTTGTCAAAATGAATAGAGCAATTGTGGGTGGTGTGTGGTTCATAAACAAAAAATTAAACTACACTGTAGGCTATTGGTGGGAACATGGTCATGTGAAAAACAAGAGTAAATCAATAAATTAAAGGGGTTACAATTTTAAAGAAAGTGTGGTGCTGCGTTGGTGGGGGTATCAAAGTGAACCCAGTTTGAAGTCCTAGGTTGAGTATAATTGTATTATCACATGACAATCTTGTATTATATTTTAAAGGGAGCCAATAATCTAAAGAAAAACTTGTAATCTTTACTTGTATTCACTTTCACATTTCTGAAATGAAAGAAAGTGTATACCCTTGTGTATATGAATTCCAAAAACAGTGCACTTCAATTATTACCTGTAGAAGGATTGTGTACGCTCTAAGATCATCTTTTGTTCTTTGCCTAATATGGAAAGCAAATAAAAATATATTATTGATTCACCAGTGGACAGCTGTAGTTACTGTACCTTTATAAAAATTAATGTTCTCCACAACAAGAGTAGCTCAAAATGATCCAGACAACATTTCAACAAAATGCATAGAATATACAGCTAACGACCCACCATAATATTCTTAGAAGGAGAATGAAATACATAATATTTACATAGAACAAAAATTAAAAGACTGTTTGTACATTTAAGCAATAAAGGGGTTTGTCTCTAAAACATTTCCATCCCAACAGAAAAAGAAAGAAATGGTTTGTCACTGGGCACAATTTCTATAGCCTATACTTCTAAAATTTTCGAAGTCAAGGTGTATAATTTTACAAACCCACACATTTGATGGGATTGTCACTTCCTCCCTTCCCTGTTCCCTTCATTGTCAGTATCATGCTAGCTAACATGAAGACATTAGCAATTAAGAATATTGGAAGGGGAGAGGGCAAAAGAATATTGTAAATGTTGTTTTGGAGAAGTTTCCAAACTAATAATGTCTGGGAGTGTGGATCCAACAACACCAACTTAGCCAATTCCTTTATACCACCACTCCATTGCAACAAAAAATAGTGCATGTGTTACCTTTTAATTTCTTGTAACAAGCTGTTCACTACAGACTTGAGAACATTCTTGTGCACCTCTTGCGGCTAAAATGTAAAGATATCTGTGATCATGATGTACACTGTACAAGTACAGTTGTATGTTAAACAACATCCACCACATCCTCTTGCCTTAAATTCTATCTAACTCCAGTAAATTGAATGGAATGAAATTCAAGCAAAAATTTAATTATTGAGATAAAATAAATAAAATTGATATACATTACCAGGGTAAGAACAATTTCATATGCTATCCTGACAAAGTCGTGATCAATACCGCTTTCAGATAATTCTTCAGGATTATACTCGTCTTTTCGCTTCAATGAAAAACAAACAAAACAGGTGTTATGATATTACATCTTTACATAATCAAGCCCTAACCTGAAATGCTATCAGACAAAAATTTGTGTAACCAATTTCAAGGCAACATGGCATCATGTTCAGTGGCTATATTTATTTAACAATGCACCTTGAAGACTACGTTCATCTCAGAGAACGAATCAAATGTTGTTGTCAAAAATTCAAGAAGTGCTTGATAATCTCCTGTTGCCAAGGCTGTCCTCATGTCATTTCTGAAAAAAAAAAAAAAAAAAAAAAAAAAAAAAAAAGAATAAAGAAATTAATATGACCTTGTATCCTGAAAATTACTCTCCAAGTACATAATTTTTAAACAATACCTGATTAGACTGTATTCTGTATTCTAACATTCCAAAATCGATTTTGATCAATCAGACATACTTTATATCTTTGATCTTTATGACAAAATGGTTTAAAGCATTAGTGTTTTCAGAGTAAAGCCAGAGAAAGAAATTTGAAATGATGGCTATCAGTTGTCACAAGTTTCAGAATTTTAATGCTGCTTTTCAGACAAAGTGCTTGTTTTGGTTATTATTATTATGACTGAAATCTTCATCCTTCATCCCTACATTGATAATATTGGTAAACTGTCATAATCAAGCAGACAGGTGAAATAAAGAAAAATATACAGTATAGAATTACTTAGTTTCATTTAACACTACCATCTCAGGCCTAACTAAATATAGTGGGAGATCTCTAAAGTAAAGGAATTAATATGTTCTAACTAAATGCAATATCTCTACTATAATGGGACTGCACTTGATTTTACCTGAAATCTATGCTTCTCATATGCATATTTGTCAAGTTAAACAACTCTTTCTTTCTAATAGAGGGCCCTGGCAATCTCATTAAGGGGTGCAAAAAATGTATTGATTTGTGAAAAATAATAGCTCTCTAGAGAGAAAAGCTGACAGAACAGCTCATGTACAGTAACAGTACAACTTTTTAAAACCTACATTTGGTTTATATGAAAAATGTTTGGTTAACTGAAGAAATAAATAGTAAATACTAAGCATTTTGAATAAAGTAACCTTAATTGGGGTATTCCGGATGATTTTCTTATCTCATCCATTCAGAAGAATTCACATTGATCCAGCAAGTTTTAATCATGGTTAGTTTCCACAGAAGATTTCAAAATTAATACTTACATCAATGACATGCCACTTACCGGTAACTACATAACAAAAGGTGTTCAATAAGAAACCACATTCATTTTTAATTAGTATACCACTCAAAATGGATTCAGCTTCATATTCCAGTCAGGGGCACAAGATAGTGAAGCTTTCGAAACAAAGGTTTACCCAAACTTTACTGGATGAAACTGTACAACTACAGTGCACTTATTGGCAAAAAAAAAAGAAAATTGAAAAACCCAGACTAGTACTATCGACAGCTTGTCATGTAATGAAAGTGGAGAAATTGTTATGTAAATCAAATCTTTAATTTATCATATTGTTATTCAGACCCCACGTGATCACAAAAACAGCATGATCGAGGAAGAACGTGTGAAAAGATTCGGTTTTTTGGGTTTAAATCACGCGTCAAACGAAGATTTCAGACCTGCTACACTGTAACAAGTGAAGCTGGTGAAATTTGGTGTTCATTGTGCTTTAGCGCGTGAAAAATCGCACTGCATGCATGACATCATATCATATACAACACAACCAATTTACCTTAGCGACAAGGCATCGTGATATTTTATCCTCTCAGACTTCTTCTCCTCTCTTCGTGAACGGATCTCTCGACGAGAGACCACCTCAGTGTCCGAAGAGGAAGTTGCATGAAGTCTTTCATGTCGAGAATTCGCTGACTTAATCTTGCAGTCATCATTGCTACGTTGGTTTACCAGTAAACGCTTTTCTTTGTCTCTATGCAGAAGTACAGGTCTCTTCTTTTCGGTAAACTCAGACTTTGAATTCTGCTTTGAAGATGAAACAGGTTTACTTTTCTCGTTATCGGGTGGCAAATCGCAACTGGAATTGGTGTCGTTTATTGGTTCCGTTGGGTTGCTGAGGTTACGGGCGAAGCGTGATGAATTAGGTACCCTTGAGTTCACCGTTTTCACATTCCCTGACCCCGTGTCCGATTTTGTTGCCTCTATTGCTATAGCCTTTCCCTTATTTGATCTCTCCGACTCCTTCGAGACAGGCCTACTACTACCTGGAGAAAGGGTTTTCAAGTTCTCGTTGGCATCCTCGCGACATCCTTCGATTTCTTCGCGCGCCTTGCTCGGAGAAGCAGAGTTTCGATGTCGTGAATTGAAAAGATTCCCTAAACCACCCAACCTTCTCCCGGGACGAGGTCGCTCTGGATGGCTATTCTACAAGACACATACACCTATCGTCAGCAAGCCGTGATCATAGAAATACAATTCCGAAAATGACACAAATAACTCACCACGGATGCAACTCTAACTTCTTCCGGATCTTCATTCGGGTTAAAGAGAGGATTTTTTATCGGAGGTAAAAGTCGAGTGGAAGGGTTCTTTGAGCCACCACCAGACATGACGTCTTTCTAACCATCCATCGGACCCATGTTTCAAAGTGCTGAGGTAAACCAGCTTCCGAAAATTGAGAAAGAAGAGAGACTCTTTCACAGTCTTGCACAAGATACGACGGCCATTTTTGTTATTAAATGGCGCGAGCGGGTGCGTTCAACCGTAACTTGACAACACAATCTTATTGGCTGGCTGCTGTGACAAGAATCCGATTGGTGGTGGAAAAACCTTCTACAGACTTCCTTACAACAGGTGTATGGTATATCGTCAACAATTGCATCAATTTTTCATCTATGCCTCTTCGCAATTTTTTTCCTCTATTCGCCAGCCAAACCCAATTACATAGGATATCTATGAGAGGCAGATATTTGAGTGTATCAGCCAATTTTCACAGAAATTTTCCAAAGACAAACTTTTATTGCTAGTCTCTGCAAAACTAGATTTCAGAATGTGCGTTTTTGAAGCTTAAATCTAATATCACAACAGGATATTGAATTTTGGGGAACTATATTTCCATTCCAGAATAAATAAAAGCAGCCTAGGTATCTAAAATTTACTTCAATAATCGTCGGACTTAAAGTTCATTTGTGTCATTTGCATAATGAGATAAAGACAGATTAGTCGTCTTGCAACCAAAATGTATAAATCGGTGTTCCGTATCTCGGACCGGGAGAAACTTATCGCTTTAAAATCCCTTAAAATTTTTCTTGGAATAAAAAAGGGAAACATTCACCCTTTGTAACTTGACATGCAAGATATAAGCTACTGGATAAAAAAACGCACTTGACATCCAAATTGATAAATGTGACGATAAGAAAAGAAAGAACAAATATATTCAGGCATCGACTACCTACCTCACCGCTATTTTTAATGATTTTTAATCAATCCCTTTCAAAATATTATTAAAGAAAGAAAGAGTTCTCAGAGGATTGTGGACTAGTCAGGTCCTGATGAAGTCTTCGTAAGTTTTTCTTCTAGTTTAAATCGTCCTTGTAAATACACTCAATTTGGGTTGTGAAAAGGATTGTCCTTTCGCTCCTGGGAAACTGATTTCTCAGTAGCTAAGGTATTGATTTTTATCTTGTTTTTGCATCTGAAGAGGTGTTATAAAATGTGTCAAAAGCAACTCCTCTACTTAAGGAACAAGTATTGCAGAAAACCTTTGTGTCACTGGTCATTTACAACACTTTACTTTCATAATCACAATCACAACTCATTTATTATTCAATTTCATTTACATAAGTCTGAGACGGAGCTGTCCAGTTGAATCAATATTGCTATTTTCAAAAGAGCAGACAGATGTACTTTATTATGGTTGCTTATTGTAAAGTCTATCATTTTTCTTCTAGAGGAAACTCTTTCCCGCCTCTGCCTTTCAACGAAGCACCGTATGGCAATATGCTGAAATAGTGTTGCGGACCTCTCATTATTGATCACCCGAGCGAGGGGGGAGCCCTTTTAGCTTGTGCTAGCATGATTTTTGGCACAACTTGGAAGATGTAAATTTTTGATCTTTTTGTTAAAGTAGCACTGCTAGCATAATCAGTGTAAGGTTACATTACCAGAGTCATGGCTTGTTTGGTCTCTAAGATCAAGTTCGGCCAATGGTTCAGTCTATTTTCAGTGGATGAGGCTTCCTCCTCTGGAGGACTGGGCACACCAGGAAGTACAGGATGCGTCGGTCCCAGTTCCCGTTCACAGGCCTCCCGGTTAGCTCAGTTGGTTAGAGCACTAGACTGTTGTGCGGGAGGTCGAGGGTTCGAGCCCCGACCGGACCAACACTCATGGTCCCCCACACAGTGCTGTAAAGCGCCTCGAACATGAGATAAGAGCGCAAAAGAAATAAAAGTTAGTTAGTTAACAAAATAGAAGTAACTAGTTAGTTTTGCTTTTCCAGAGCAAGTGCGTAACTTACGGTAAAGAAGATATGATACTCTAGCAACAGTAAATGTTTATTTTGGACTTTTCTTGTTTCGTGTTATGATTAAAAAATAATAATTATAATTTGAAAAGAAATCGGGCAGTGCCAGTAGCATAATATGCTTCTTTTAACAGCACAATCTATAAGGGCATCGTCGCTTTATGCGCTTGTGAGGAGCGGCAATAGTAGGCACCTTCCTTAAAAAATGAGTACAATCATAGATATTGAAGGAGAAAAGGAAAATTTTAGTTTTCCACTTAAAAAGGTGTCTAAGCCGACAAACAGCTCTCCCTGTAAGACCTTTGTTGTTCCTCTTTGCTTAAAAATATAGAAGCAAAATTTTTATAACGTAAACAACACTAAGCATACCATTTTGGAAAGCTAGTTCATTATTTGCAAACATAAGGGTATCTTGATACTTTCTCCGGTCCTTCATGCTTGTTATCAAATATGCCTTTTCTCAACGAGTTTTACACATAAGAGCATTGAAAATCAGTCAAATCAATGTCACCAATTGATTTGAGAGGACTCTCGGCTAAGGAGTTGAAAAGCAAAGTTACGTCTCTTCAATTCAAACATGGCAGGATTGCCCAATCGGTGTGCGTGAGTTGAAAATGCCAATTTAAAAGTCGTTAGTCATAGCGTAGTGCAACAACACTAGTCTATAAAATAATCATTTAAGTCGGATTACGTGGTAAACCCTAGTCTTCTACATTATCAACTCAGTTGATAAAACCAAATTATCTCTTATACCTCCACCGTACCCCGTTTATTGCGAAGTTAATTTAAAAAGTACAATAATTTTGACCACCATTATGTCGAATATCTTTGTCGATAAGTGTACAGACAACCTTAAATCACTCTCGATTTGTAATTTGCTGACGATCGATTTACCATTCAGAAAATCTTTGAAGATGTTCACATTCCTATAGACTTTATTCATGTTACATGTATGTAAAGTGTACTTTACACAACCAAAGATTCAAGTTCTAATTTGCCTTAAAATAATTGATCGTAGTTCTCTGGACGTGTGAAACTCGGCTTCTTCAAACTTTGGTCCACTTGAGTGACAAATTCTCACGTTCGAAAACATTTGGCAGCTGTAAATTCAATCGAACTGGGATCGAACGGAATCTGATCAGTTGATCAATTGAATCCTATTGATTATCTGTTCGATTGGGTTTGATTGCCTGCGCCACGTCTTATAAAATCAAGCTTAGGTAGAATAAGTTCATCACAAGGGCATGTTTTAAGAAAGCAATGAGAGCAATGATCGATCAAACTACCATTTTTGTGCATTTACATGTTACCGAATCTTTTCAAATATGAAATTTTACTGTAAGTACCACCTGACACCAAACGTTCAGGGTCCCGCGAAACTGTTAAATAACAAGTAAGACATATGAGCTTACAAGTATTTGTTTCTTCAGGAGACATAACTCGGGGTTTCTGGCGGCATGACTATGGTTTCGGGCAAGATGACTTTAGGGCTGCGTGGCCGGTTACCCTCTGGAGAAAAAGTGCATCGTTCTTCTTTCCTATTCAAGAACTGGACTACACTTGTCACTAACAGGTGGTTACTGCCTGAGTAAAAATTTACTGCCTTCTTTGCAAGGAAAGGATAGGGTCTCACCTTGTATATAAAGTATCTTTACTGGCAAAATGTAAGAGCGAGTTGAGAAAAATGGCTATACATTTTTATCTACCTGGCACCATTTTCTTGCTATTTAAGCCAGTTCAGTACGAATAAAGTGTGATACAGCTGAAAAAAAGTTTATCCAGCATGTCCAGTCTGTACCTATATCTAACTTTCAGTGTCTTTGACAAAATTGCGCGGCTTTAATTCATCAATTCATCAGCTTCAACCTTACTATTCTGAGATTAAAGCGAATTTCCATCCAATTTTGAAGGTTATTAAATGGTTAGAGATGACAGTGTTCCTAAAGCCCTTTCATACTGCATACACTCGTTACTCGTTCCGCCTGGTTTCCTCGTGCACTTCAAGAAAGTTTTCAATATAGAGCCAAGGTAAAAAAGCAATCCGCAAAATAAACAAGAAAAACAGAACTATACATCAAAAGCTATTAAAAAAACATTAATTTTAATAAATATGGAAAGAAAATATACAAATATAAAATTAATCTCAAAATTAACCTTAAAATTACGACCGTGGCGTGCTGAACAAACTCATATCTGAGAATACAAGGTTTTCAGATTAAAAATGGAGAAAATGCTAGATTTGAAAAATAACTATGAACAGAAAATTTTGAGTAAAAAGCAATAATATTTGACATTTGAAAAATAAAGCAACATTTCTAAGTTACATTTATAGCTGGAAATGTAAATAATTTACACAAGATAGACAAGAAAAAAATACAGATATGAAATAATTGTACATTTACGACGATGACGTGCTGCAGTACTACAACATCTTCAGATGACTACCAGAAAATCTTTAGTAAAAATCTGACAAAATACGCGATATTCTAAAATTTGAATAAAACGAGAAAAATAGAGCAACATTATGAGTTACATTTACAGCTGAAATTGTAAATAATATAGCCAAGATGGACGAGAAAAAATAAAAATATGAAAATAAACGTAAAGATGAAACATGAAGATGATCATGACGTGCTGTAATAATACAAAGTTGATGAGTAGCAAAATATTTTGAGTACAAATCTGACAAAAACGCAAGAAAATCTGACATTTAAATTAAGTAGGATGAAATGATATTCATTACTAGTTACATTAAAAGCTGACATGGTAATGATTCAAACTGGATGGACAAGAAAAAATACGGATATGAAAATAATAGTAAAATTATGACGATGACTTGCTGCAATAATACAAAGCTTTCGGATGAGTACTAGAAAATATTGAGGAAAAATCCAACAAAAAGCAAAAAATCTGACATTTAAAAAAAAACGACAAAAACAGAGCTACATTCTGAGTATATGAAAAGCTGAAATGTTAACAATTTGAATAATTTAGACAAAAAAAATACAGAATGATATGAAAATAATCGTAAAATGATAACCACAACGTGCTGCAATAATTCAGTACAGAAACGGTTTGAAAGCTTATTACATATGAAAAAGAAGGTCGTGGGTATAAATCTGAGAAAAAAATAAAATCAAATATTCAAACAAACACTTGCAAAACAAATGAAATATCAGCTCAGATCAGACTCGTTTTTCGAAGATTCTAGCGCCAGACCCTATCAAATGTGTGGCCAAATATTAACATTCTCAGGGAAGAAGGGCTAGATGCACACCATGGTGACCACATCCAGCAAAATCAGCTGCAGGTCAGTGCACTGGGCGACCACCACAAATAAACCTCAATCAGACTGGAAAAAAAGAAACACGATGGCCCCTCTCTATCACATGCGCAAGGGGCACTGTTTCTACTTCACCACCGTACAAGGGGGAAGCAGTTAACTCCACCACCACAACCATCGGCCCCGATCATTATCCTGCCTTTCCCGCCTATTTGGCCATTCGCCCAGACTACCGCGACTAACACGACCGAATTGGCCGCCTCGGCCTACACAATCAACCGGACCGTCTCATCCAGCACGACCGACTGGACTGCTACAGCCTAAACAACCAACAACACCCCCCCGCCAACACAACTGACTGCATTTCAGCCAAGCAATCCAAAGGGAATGTTTCCACCAAACCAACAAACCAACCACTAGGGAGCACAACGACCTTAGCACACAAAGATGTGACCTTCAAGCAACATAATCGACTCAACATTCCAAACAAACACACGGAACGCGTGCTTGTAAGGAGAATCAAGTCGATCTTGTTGATGGCAAAAGACCACACGATTAATACGTAAATATGAATACATATAACTTTTAACAATCCTACTTACACTTTACGGTGTAACAAAACGGAACTAGAAACAGGATCACATCATCCTCAAAGTTAACTGTAAGCTGCAACATTTAACTTACACACGAACATAATACAGATAATAAATAAATAAATAGATAAATTAATAAATAATTTAGCAATGGACATTGCACTGGGTGGCTTTTCTTGTCCACTGTTTCCAGATCGAATTAGAATTTAGAATGTTGAAATTGGCGGAGGGAGGAAAACCGGAGGACTGGGAGAAAAACCCTCGGAGCAAGGACAAGAATCAACAACAAACTCAACCCACATGTGACGCTAATTAAAACATTTTTAACAGAGAATTGAATTAAGAAAACGAGGAAACATATAAACACACAAACTATCAGATAACACTACTGATGGCAGACTCATCAAAGTGAAAACCAACCATACAGAATGCCAAGCAAAGGAAATATTACGACACTCACACAATATATGGGTAAACTGCTTTAATCACCACAACCAACTTAACCAAACTTCCTCGAACCAAGAGCAATTTGGGGCGATGAAGATCAAGCCAAGTTGGTTTGTGCTGAGTGCATTCTATAATAAGCATACTACAAAACCACCTTGACCAAAGTAACAGACGAACTGTCTCAATACTAACATCTTCAGGTGTTAATCACAAGAAGATTAAACTAAACATTCAGCCAACGCAGCTCAGCAGAAACAACAAACGACCACACTACCTCAGAAACACAACCAACTGAACTATACAGAACCAAAAAGTTATAACATTCCAGTTTGTAGACAGCATGGAAAAGAAAAAAGACGCTGAGTTTCCTGACCATGGAAGTAACGACCCTCATTATTAAAAGGTCACTCCTCTACATGTTCACTAAACTTCTAGCGAGAGTCTTTTCATGAAGAAAATGGTAAAGATGAGAAGGAGATTGAAAAGAGGACAACTTTAAGGTTCCTAACTGAAAAATAACTCTAAGTTAGCAGAAAGCTAAGGTCAAGGAGACAGCTGCTTTAAATGAGGAATGTACACTACAGACTACAATCCTCTGCAATCCCATTCAGAACAATGGAGAGCCTCTCAAATTGTTCAGTGGAGACGTTATAGAGATAGAGAGATAAGAAAAAGCTTTTCAACGCCTTTCAAAGACCGCTGTATTATTCACTATTACTGACTTAAATACAGAGCAAAAGCTGAGCTGAAAAAGGTTTCTTCAACCCTCCCTTTGGAAACTTCCTGGTAATGGCCAAGAAGTGCATTAATCGGCGTTCGAGGAAAGCTGAACTTGGAACGAAAAAAACTAAAGCAGGAAGAAGAGTTTCACAAAATAACGAAATTAGTTATACTTTAGCTCCATGATTCCACCATTCATTTCGGTCTGAACAACACGTACGAACATCTTGAAGATCCACTAACAAATCAGTTAAGAGAAGCTCACACTTCCTCAGCCTCAAAATATCCTTTAGAGTAACGGCATGAAGCTATCAATTCTGTATGACGGAAGCTACTTTGAGATTTCCAAAATCCGTAGAGAAATCAAAGATGATGATAAATTAGCCCAAGCCCTCTCAAAGTGTAACTATACGCAGATCAATGAAATGGACGAATGGTTAATCTCACAACACCTAAAGCCAAGTCCAAAGTATTGAGCATTATTTGTGGATTGAGACAGGCCCTTTTGAAGTGATCCTAGATTTATGACGCCCCAATTACCACAATTTCAGCGCCTCGTGAACTTAGGTTGAAGGAGTTTGGCTAGACTATTCATCCAAAATTAAAGAGTGTAAAAAGTTCGACCGAGGAAGCAGTCATCACTATCGAGTATGAGTTTTACTTCAGAATTTTAAATGCGCAACGAAAAACTGGACCAACAATAGAGAGCACAACAAGAACTTCTATAAGCGTGACTAGACTTGAGCAAAGGACTGCAGCGATCGAACAGCAAATTGAAGAGGACGATGAGGCTTACACGTTAGCAGTTGAGAAGAAGGGAAGGATACCATCCAGAATCAACCATGGGAGTACTTTAATACATTGTCGTATCAACTGGCTGACGCCTGACTACCGACCTTTTTTGTACTAATAGGCAAAAGGAATTCGGAACAATGCAAGGAACGATTAGCGATCATTGTTGTAAACGGGATGGAGTTAGTCAAGGTTAAGATCGGTCGTTTCACTTATGGCAAGGATAATCCCAGCAATTATGTGAGGCTTTGATGCAAATGAAACAAACAAATGACCTCCGAGAAAGTAGTTGTATACTTCATGAAGAAGGGAAGAACCCAAGACAGAAATACTCTATAGACGCATTCAATTGGAGTGTAGGATACAATTGACTCCCAACAACTCGAACCTTCCATCAATAGAAAAATTTAGTCAACGAACCCTGATTATGTTTATCGTTTCCGTCCAATCACCCATCACTTTTACCCTCAGTAACGCGAACTGTTGACTAACGAAACTTCTCTAGAAGGTAGAGGTTGGTGAGAGTTACCAGTTGTAGGTTCGGTCATAAAGGCGGCAGTAGGGAGGAAAGAGCATGTCTAAAGCGGTCTGTAATTGCGGCTGGTTGTTATAGTCAGGTTGGTTGTGTTACTGAAGGTAGTGGAGACAACCAGTCTGTTACGGTGGAGGCAGTACAGTTAGTAGTGTTGGTTGTAGAGGATACCTTCCCTTTGGTTGCATTGGTCGAGAAAGTACAGTAAGCTGTGCCGAAAGAGTGGTCTGGTTGAGTGCTCAGGATGGAGTGGTCTCGTTGGTTGTGCTGGCTGAGGCCGTCTTCAGTTGGCTGTGTAGGTCGACGCAGCTAAGCCGGCAGTGTTGGTCGAGATAGTCTGGTCGTGACCTTGTGGCGGGGCAGGATAATTGACCGGGGCCGTATCTTTCGGCTGTGGTGAAGCTAACTATTAGCTGTTGATGGTGAAGTAGAGATGGTGTATTGCTATCTGAGTAGAACGTTACTCAGGCAGAGAACAGTGGATTTCCCTTGGGCATGGAAAGAGAAGAGCTAACGGTGGTGATGGTAGCGAGTCGGTCTAGGTCGATTTGCAGTGGTCGTCTGGTACAAGGGCTTTACAACTGATAATGTTGGTTTTGGCCACCGTGATGAGAATCGAGTCCCTCCAACCTGAGATGCCGATAAAAACCACACATCTGAAGTATCTGACGAGGGAAAAGTTTTAAAAGCAAAACCGAACAAAAGAAAAGAACTGTCTAGGATGAAAAAATGGAAGGAAGAGCATTAGATTGCGGTGAAATGAAGTCAAAACAAAGATAAGGAAATCATTGCAACACGTCATATAAATAATATTAGTAATCATGAAAAAGTAAATCCATAAGGAAAGTAAACGATTTAGACAAAGGGAAATTAAAAAACAGCAGCACGTCATTTTCATAACAGGAATGATAGAAGTGAAAAGTTAAACCTAATATAATCTAAAAATACGATAACAGGTGAAAACTCACAGTAAGCGTAAGACTTAAACGATCTAAAAACAGGGAAGTTAAGAAAACAGCAGCACGTCATTTTCATAACAGGAATGATAGAAATGAAAAGTCAAACCTAGCTATACTCTAAAAATACGATAATAGGTGAAACTCACAGCACGCCAGATCATTCAGGTCATATTAATAAAAAGTATTGTAGAAAAAATAGGTAGATGTAGACAAAATTGAAACTTCAATCGAATATAAAAGATATAAATTAGATCTTCAACGACGGAAGAGTTGAGCGAGTCGACTGAATGCTCTTCTTAACAAGTTCTTTTTCTTTGCCTGGCAACAAGAAAACACAATGTTTGTTACTTGGTAACAATGGCATAACATTTGGATTGCTTGCTGTTACAAGTTTAATAGGATGTCGATATTGTTCCAGGAATTGAAGTCAAGACCGTCTAAAGAGAATTTTTATTCCTATCAGAATGAGCTTCCATGGGAGTTTCAAATGATTTAAAGAACCGATCATGTGTAATGATTATTTCAGATGATTTAAGGGTCTGCCAGGATCAAACACGCGGGGTTATCTCAGCAAGAGCAGCCTCCTCGCACATAGAAGCAAATGTCTTCTGAGTACTAAACCGGAGGGATTGTCGTCGAGCGTCGGTCAGTTGATGTAAAGGTGGCCGTCAAGATATGCAAACATCTTCAGATAATGAATTAACATTGAAAATTACATTATTAATTAGGTAAACTTAACCGTTCATAATCAATTCTGGTGATCTCTTATTTCTACTTTCTAACTTTCTATTGAAAATCAAAATCGACGTTATTATGAGAAGAAATTTCATTAGTTTTGTCTTCCCTTTGAAGCGAAATTGGATGCAATCTTTATCGCCTTTTCATCACAGTAGACGTTACTATATCAGGGGTTTAAATTATCAACAGCACCTAAAATAGCAAGTTTGTCGTAACAATGCAAAGGCAAAATTACGACACTGAGCAGTTTATTTGACAAGTTACCGATAAAAGTATTCCAATGTAGCCACTTAATGGTCGAGGTTTTATATGGCTATCAAACATTTCTGATAAAAACAAACGGAGAAAAATTAACTAGACCGGTAGCTTTTTCAAATGGGATAGCTTTCATTAGGACCTACTAGAACGCAGTCGACCACGCTGACAAGTTTAGTCAGATAGTTTGCACTTGCTTAAAAATTACTTTGCAGAAGAGTTAAACGAGAAGCAAAAATAAATAATTCCAGATTTCTAAAACTAAAAGCAAATTAAAAGTGTCACGGGTGACTGTCTACATTTCTCAAGTATACTTACATTTGCACGAGCTTTCTCCGCATCCTCTAATTTGCTGTAAGAAGTAAAATGCGACATGAAATTTTAACTTTACCGGGTAACAGTACAAGGTTCCTTAACGTAGGTATTACAATTAGTTGAGATGTATTAAATGGTTAGATGTACCTGGAATTCACTAGATTAAAAACAGGAGAGGTTTATAGACTGCTCTTTATAGAAAATTTCTTTTTCCTAATTTTTGACGATTATAACTGGCTCTAGAACTTCATTTCGAAACTTCTTAGCCCTCTTGGGACCATAATTTTGACCCAGCCATTCAGTGGTGCTATATGCTCTTAAAACTTCATCTGAGCAAACAGTCTTCTAACCATTGCTTCTGAGCGAATACTTTGGTTACTTACTTCTGAAGCTCATTAAGAGCCATCTTCGCCTGAAAAAAAAAACAATAATACAACTTTGTTTATCAATATTGTTTAGTAGTACTATGAAAGGTCCAAAGATTTCCCTAAGACTTCTCTTAGTTCCTACCACGAGGTAGCAGGTATTCTTTTAACTCTACTTTTGTGAAATTGAAAGAAAACAATCCGTGCCGTAGGGAGAAGTTTAATGGCCGTCGCGCCAAATTTCCTGCAATACAACTGTGACACGTTCCTCTACGACAACAGATGCGATTTGTACTAAAACAATGATTTCCTTCAATGTGAATAGTCTTAAACGACTGGTAATTGTCCATCAATGTTTGGGAATGATTGCTATATGTTAAACGGGCACGTATAATTGTTTACCTCCAGGCGATAGATGGCAAAGTTTCGCTGCAATTTTTCCATTTCACTGTAAAAGGAAAAAGAAAAAATTAGCACACAGCACTCTAAGATAACGAGATACAAAACGTCCTTGCATGCCATTTTACCGAAGCTTCTGGGAACTAATGACGTTAGGGAAGTCTTCAAAATTAGAGAAAATATGATGAACCAAATATATTCCACGAGGTAAAAACGTTTATGGCTCTTACCAATTCCCCTGAGCGAACTTAAGATCATGACTGTTACTATTAACATAGATTTAACTTTAATGGGGAAAGAAAGAGGGTTGCTGCAGGCTCAAAATAAAGTGGGATCAAGGCTATGACTTCCTAAATTGATTGATTAATAATTTATCGTGTGAAAATAGTCAGAAAGCTTGGAATGCCAAACCTTGATTTCAACACAAACTTTTCCTTTTTTTGTTTAGGTCAGCAAAGCTCGAATGTTGACCAAAATTCAACCTCAAGTGAACACAGGTATAAATCTACATTTGCTTTAAGGTCGGGAGACATTAAATCACTTGAAATGCACGTGCTAATGCAACGAATGAGACAAGCTGTAATACGTACATCTTCATTTCTTCTTTTTCTGTCATCTTCTCCTGTGTGTATTTAAGCAAATAAACAAACTCCAATCCTCTTTCAGTTATTAATATTATTACACGACTCGGGCAGTCAGAGGGCCAATAACTAAAATCAACCAATCAAAATGCTCTATTGCCGGTCCAATATTCTCCAAGTATTGGACCGGGCACTGTCCCAAATGGTCCCGAATGATACCACACTTGTGTCCCTTTGAACTTCAGTCGTATAATAAATCTCTTATTAACCAAGCTTGCTCGGGACCGTACTGGAAGAACATCGGCCCTTGGTCTTTTTTGTACGGACCGAGCTGAGCTCGGTCCGTACTGTCAAGACCTCGGGCCAATATTCTCCCAGTATGGCCCTCGCGCTCGGTTAATAAGATATATATATTACACTCCATTACATTGGATAAGCGAAAACACAGCGGCTAAGGAAGTGAGGATCTCTCCTCTGGATACTCTCCTCCTCGAAATAATTTGGATATATCAACAAAGTTGAAATGGTAAATTGGCCACCGTAACGATTGCAAAAGCTGACGTTTCGAGCGTTAGCCCTTCGTCGGAGCGAAGAGTGTAAATGACAACCAGAAAACTAACAGCGAAACCTTACTGACTACTGAGTTTATTGCTGATCTGTGGAGAATTATCTAAGCAATCATCTTTTTCTAAAAAACTTGCAATTTTCCGTTCAGAATCCAGAATCTTTTTTATAAAAACACCTACGTCCCCACAGTTTTAGAAATTAAACATTTGTGAAGGATTGATAAACAAAAATAAAAGAAATATTCGATCCAACATCCCCTTCAAAAAACCAAACCAAGGTCGTATTACGAGCAGAATTCAAGGGTGAAGTACCTTGTTAAGGATGTCTGTGAACGAGACAAGATCATCGATGGCTTTTTTATCTGCTTCAGCCTGCTTCTTATTCGATTCAAGTTCTGATTAAGATAAGAGAACAAAATTTTTTTTAGAGTCTAAAGGACAAATCTCATTTGAGTAATCTTAATTGATAAGTATTTTAAAAATACTAATTATCAAAAAACTACATAACAACAAAAAATTACGATCAGAAGAGACCTATAAGATATGCCCCACTTCCAAAGTGTGCCTTCGTAGCTCAGTTGGTGCAAGACACGGGTTCGAATCCCGTCGAAGACTGAAAGCCTTCTTTTCTGCAATTGCATACATTGCAGCTCACCTGTCGGAGGAACACTGCTTTATTTGAGTTACCTAAACTAAAGATAGAACAAAGATAACTTATGTGACGAGATGATACTTGGAAAAACTGCAATTTGTAGTTGATCTTGTCAATAAATCTTATTTCCTCAAACTACAGAAGCATCACAACTAAGGTGGCTTTACTTAATAAAGCCTACTCTAGAACTGAAAAAGAGCGAAAGCCAAACATGTCTAAAGTCTAAAGGAATTAAGTTTCTCAAGAAACTGTGGTGCTGCGTCGGTGGGGCTAACAACGTAATTTGGTTATATCAACCAGGTTGAAATTGTAAATTGGCCACCGTAAAGAGTAAAAAAGCTGACGTCTAGAGCGTTAGCCCTTCGTCAGAAGGAATGGAGAAATTGTGGGTTGTGTGTGGGTTTATATGCAGAAAGTGGAAATTGCTATTGGTGAAAACATTGTGACGAGAAAAACACGAATAAATTAGTAGATTGAAAAGTGTTCGTTGATACCTATGGGGTTAAGAGTGAGATACAATGAATATATGAAGTTCATATATTTTGAACTGCGG